TGGAAAGAAATTGAATTTTTTATAGAAAGTGTGATCAATGCAATTAGGCGGTAGTGGTAGTTACTTTTGATACCTATGGAATATTCTGAAGGTGATACTTGAAGGTATATTAGGAAATTTTCATTATAGTGACACTAACTATAAATGGAAGATTAAGCTTTCATTCTTCTAAAGAAAGTAACACAAATGTATAGTTTTCGTCATCTTATGACAAAGGAACCTATATACAGTACGTAGTAAACATTGAAAAAAATGAAGACTCTCCGGTACTCCGACTGATATAAAATCCCCATCAATCAGTGACAGGAATGAATAAATTTTAAAACAACAAATTGTAAAGATGTCTAAAGGACCATGGAACGACGATGTATGAATCATTTATATGATCATTAGCATTAAATTGTTAAATTGAAAACCAATAACGATAACCTAATTTTCAAGTAAATTTTTTTATAGGAAGATATTAAATTATCCCAACTTGTTGAAGATATGCTTAAACAACAAGCACAAATACAATGGGTAGAAATAGGAAAACAGATGAACTCTCGAACAGCCAAGCAATGTCGAGAAAGGTAAAAGCATAACAAATTTTTTAAAAAATTTGATTATCTTACGTATTGAGACTAAAATATATATATATATATATATATATATATGAAATTTTATACGTACGTACGTAGATACAAACATCATCTTGATCCTACAAGTAAATATTATTCTAATATATAAAATATATATACAGTATATGTATTATTTTATTTCAATCTATTTTATACTAAATTTATTGAAACCAAACCAATACGTAGTTAACCGAACTTCACTCAGTGATATAGAAAAAGATATAGTCTGGGAATGTCAAAGAAAAGGAATAACATCGTATGCATTGATAGCAAGGTCGATTCCTGGAAGAACACCACTACAAATTAAAAATTATATTTATCGAGAAAAAGCTAAAGAGATAGCAAGAATTAAAGCAAAAATGGCATTACCAAATATTTGTAATATTTCAGCAGCTAAAAGATTAAAGAAAAACATAAGAGGGGGATCGGAAGATTCAGCAACTAGAAGACTAAAGCAAAACTTGAGGAGAACTTCGAACATTTAATAGAAGAATACTATATAAATATTATATAATTTAATTTGAAATCAGAAATTAATTTTGTTTCAAGCAGGCTTTGTACAAACTTAGTTTTAAATGATATTCATAGTACAATTTCACACATCGTTTCTAAGCTTGTTATGTAGCGAGAGCTATATTTATGCGTTCTATGATTGCTATATGACATGCTAAACTGTATAAACATTATATGCAATTTCAATATTTTAAATATTTTAAATATTTTAAATATTTTAATAATTGTTAGATTTTCATCCATAGGCATAAATTTTTTTTGATTTCTTCTTTTTTCAAATCAAACATTCTTGATCTTTTTTGTTTTTTTTTTTTAATTAAGGTTGTTATAATAAAGACGTATCTATAGATATATAGTACATGTTATAGTAATGTTGAATTTCGAACTTTCAGATCATTTCCTAACATTTAGAAAATAAGAAGGTTATATTTTAAACCATAGGTGACTCCTTTAGCGCCTAAGCGCATACTCTCCTAATTAAATAAATTATAAAAAAATAAATTATAAAAAAAATGATAAAACGATTTAACACTTTTCTTAAACATTCATAAACGCGGTATGCATGATATTCTCTTGATGACGACGGAATAAAATTATTTTATTAAATTTGGGTGACGCCAAGAGAAAACCAGGAATTCTAAAAATAGACTTCCATCCACAGCGAAGTTGCGGGGTTTTTTAA